TCTGCGCTGCGATTGCCCCTCTGCGAGAGCAATATGCTCATCTTCTGACAAAAAATGATGCCACTTCACAAGTTACATCAGTATATTTCGTTGAGTTCGAGAGCCCTCGAACTGTGGATTTTTTTCCAGAATCTGATATGATCGATGTTCATAAGATGAAGTTATTAGAAAGGAAGCTGTTTTCCCCTACTCTGTGGACTACCAAAAATATTCAAACCCGAAATAAAGCTCACATCATAGTTCAATTGTTAGTGCTTCAGGTTGTTCAAACGACCACTAGACGAAACACTTTGCTACGCTTCTACAACAGCATGCAAAAATACAGATTCTTACATAAAGAACTCCACAGAATTGATTACAAATATTGGGGAAAAACACACGAGACTCGAAGCGGTCTTTTATCCACTATCTGAATCCTTATCCTAATAAAAATTCTCCCAAAAGATATCAACCTTTTTCATGCATGGCTGAAAAGAAGTCACTTGTAATAAAGCGGTAATTTCTACGAGTAGATCGATATTCAGTTCACTAAACCCGGCAAAAACCCTTGAAAGAATTTGACTAGAAAGCATCAACATTATTCGCCTACAAACCTTCGATGAGAATCCAATCTATCGATAACACATTTGTGAATTAAAAACATGGAAGAGACAACCTGAACCAGTTCTTAAAAGAAATATTTTTTTTAGGACGTTTTGATAAAAAAGTGTAGAAGTTGTCTGATTCTCACCATATACTAGAAACCAATACCCATGGACTGATATATTCACGCTCTTTCCAAGCATCATGCCAAACATAAACAAGAAATCATCAAGACACTTGCAGAATGAGCCCACAAGATTTATGAACCAAAATACCTGGATACCTACCATTTATCCCTAGAGAAACAGACCGAAGGGGAAAAATTCTAGGTAAACACGTCATGAAAACAATCTTCAAATGAACAAGGGAGCGAGAAAAACATTCGCAATGCAATCCAATGTCATAGAAATAACGCCCCCGGACCGAACTCAGTCGAGCATCAAGTCTAACAAAACCTCTCATGTTTCTTCCTTTCCAACCGTCTTGTTGGCAAACACCATAATAATTTCCAAACCCCACGAAAAACAAAGCAATCAGCCTCCCAAGCTACCCAGGTAAATTATCCTAACCTACACAATAACAACGTTATGGTATGGTTATGGTGTAGGAATTCCACCCAGAACGCCCTTATCAACCTCCACAACCAATTTTCTTCAAACATAAATTAGCAGTTTTTCATAGCCTTGGAATTATAGTGAATAATATTTCCACAACTGTCACACATTACAAGGTCTTCATCATTTGGCACATTTTCATTACACTTACTGCAAATTTCCATGTCTGCCTCAGAAGAACAAAACCTTCATGCACCAGAACAATGCCATATCCACCCTGTACAACTGTTTGTTTCATTCATGATCAACTTTTTGCCTATTGATTTCAAATACTCAACTATTTTGCAATTTTCCTTCTCTATTTTTAATCAATTTCGCATCAATTGAGAAAATTTCGAATTCAATAATTCAAATGAGTTATTTGATCAAACCTACTTTATAATGTGAATGAAGCATGCCATTTCTTATACCCCACTCTTTACCAAGCTTTCGGGGAAAGTATTTCAACCTATTACCATTATAAAAAAGAAATCATTAATGATATTAATTTGAAAATTTCCTTTCATTAAAAGTACAAAACGTTCAAAACTATCAATTATTTTCAATTATTCAAGAATCTCAGAGCAAATATTGAACCTAAGATCACAACCCTATATGCCTCCTATGTGCAAGAAGTTGAAAGGCAGGTCACAGGCAATCCAAATATATTTTGGAATGTTTTAACTGCAAAAAAAAATAAAAAATTCCCGGTTGTATGCAATATAATGATTATACTCTCAGCTATATCGAAAGCATCATTCATGATCGAATATATAACGGTATTAAAATGATAATAACACCAAATCAGCATGAATTCATGTCCAAGAGTAGCAAACCTGACGAGTATAACTGAATATATTTCTCGTAATCTCGATTCAATAGAACAAGTTGATGTCATCTATATTGATATGAAAGAGCCTTCGATCAGATTGACCCCTTTCTCCTTTTGAAACAACATTAAGAAATCGAATTCTAAACTGTTTTAATAGGATTGCTCAAATCATATCTGTCAGATCGCATTCAGTTTGTCGAATATGGGGGATACAGTCGAACAATTGCATTTTACTTCAGGGGTGTCCCAGGGGTCTAATCTGGAGCCACTCTTATTACCAATTTTGTTAAAAGATATTTAGTTAGGGGTGACGTGCCGGCATCTACTTTCCGAAGATGAATTGGAAATTCATTCACTGATTAGGTCCTTAGACGACTGCTATAATTTACAGGGCTCGCTTCAACACAATGTAGGTAAATGCAAAGTATTGTGTTTCTACACAAAACATCATCCAATAAATTTCGAATATTCCATAAGTGATATGGCCCTCGAAAACAGTGAAACATTTGAAGATATAGGGGTCGTATTTGATCGAAGGCTTACATTTGATACTTATATAACTCACATTGTATCATCGGCCTTGAAGCTATAGGATATTTCTCCAGAAACTGGGGAAAATTTTCAAATGTTAATACGCTCAAATTATTGTATGATTCATAAAAAGTAGGTAAATTATACATCTTCAATTTAAAACAAATGTAATCATATTCTTTGAAAATTAGAACAAATTTCAGTATATGGTTGAAAAGTGAAGAATAAAAATATTTGTGTTTTTATAAATCAGAGATGCAGAGTACCCTGTGTTTCATTTGTTATACCAAATCAACTAACTCAATGGCCTCTTCATACTAAGGACATATAGTTCATGAATCTACTTGAACTACTGAGTAGATTTTTATGAACTGTATTCTATCACGAAAATTCCATGGATTTTCAAGAATTTGATTGCATTAAAATTGCAGAAAAAAACTGTTTCCACTGTGAATTCAGTTTTTCCAGAAATAAATAAAGAACATACAATGGTCGAATATCTAGATTTATGAAAGACCGTACGTAACACATACTATAATAATGATACCAGATTAACTCCATATAGAGTGAGCTCATATATGCGACAGGTCATTGCATGAATTTCGATACCACCATAATCTCAACTGAAGAATAAAATGCTGCAAAAAGTTTGTCTCTCGAGATCAGATCATTATCTGAAAAAGTGACCCTAATCACTTAAGTGAAATTTATTCCTTGATGATGTTTTATAATCTCATTCGTTTTTTTAATCTATCCATACACTTTGTTGTGGAATTGGCCGGGATGGTAGTGCGCCCGACTCACGATCTGGTTGGACCTGGGATGATTCTGCAACCGTGTTAGGAATCACACGTTAAAAGGTAAGACCTCGTTAGTCCTCAGCTCGCAAAAGTTTCTCAACTTCTGAGAGTTGTCGTGCTTAAGGGGCGACAGCTGATTAACGGAAAAACAGATTTTAAACAGATTTTTTTTTAACTCATTTGTAATCTCTTTCACATTTTACTACACATACGGGTGATGATGATTGTGATTTTTGGATTCAGCAGACAGGAAGAGAGTTCTTCTCTTTTTGATTGCATGAATGTCGTTGACATCTGTAGATTGGAAATAGTTCTTTGGTATTGTTCTATGATCGTGTTAGGAATCACACGTTGAAAGGTGAGACCTCGGTAATCCTTAGCTCGCACAAGTTTCGACTTCTGAGGGTTGTCGTTCGTAGGGGTGCGACAGCTGGTTAACGGAAAAAGAGATTTCAAACAGAACAGGTTTTAAACAGACAGATCTATGATACAATAACCCCACTGTATCATGAGCCATCTAAAATGGCTCATGATACAGTTTATTTGAAGAAGTAAAATTTCCACTAATTATTTTGTTAATTTTCATTCAAATAATAATATGGTTTTCAAATTTTGATAAATCATCACATAATGCTAGTTATGACATGTGGTTGAGATCGCAATTGTTTGTTGAAATTGAATTCTTCAGTCTATGTTGTGTAAATTTTTTATGAATATATATTAAGATGAATATATATTGAGATGAATGGGGAAAAAAGGTTTTGGCTTTTTACTTCTCTGTCTTCATACAAAAAAAAGTGTGAATATTCTAAAGAAAGATAGAAAGCAATTAGTTTCATGTATAGATTATGCAAATGAGTAACTTTCACACACAAACTCAAAGACGCAACACGTGTTTCGCTAGAAGCGTTAATAGAGTAAAGACATGCCTGAAGAAACTTTCGTATAGCGAAACACGTGTTGCATTTTTGTGAAACTGTTCAGTGAAAAGTGCACACAAAAAAGTGTTTCTTGAATTGGAAAGAGTATAGTTTTGGCCATCTTAGGTGAATATTAGGTATCAGTCAGCTAGAAAATAACAATTGGGCAATAACAAAATACTAGGAATCAATTAACTGACCCTCATTATGCAAAGTGATGATTCGTGTTTATGCATATGAAAACATCAAACATAGCTAGCGAGCGTAATAACAATCATCCATTGATGAGGCTAACTTGGTTAACGAAACGTGAGGTGAGAGACATCATATTTTTCCTGGCAAGGGGAAAAGTGTTCACGATAGACTTATTTCACGCCAGAGGTTCCAAATTCCACTAACCAGTTTTTTTCCTAATGAATTTTAAGTTTATTGGGTACACATTTTTCTAGAATAGGTATACATCTTGTACAGCTTCAAAAATGAAAATGGAAATGTGATTTCAGTTTTCTATTATTTCAAAACGAAATTGACAAAGTTTTGTTCTTCTCGAATATATCCGGAACTGAAACGTCATTGAAATGAGCTCGGAAATGAGAAACTCTTTTTTCGACTCAGTATTTCATTAGTTTCCGATATTCTCATAGTGTTCCTTTTCATCTCAGACTATGTCAAGTTTATCAGATACAATATTTTTTGCGTACAGTATATTTATATTGAATATATATACTTTATCTTCAAAAAATGATAACCGAATTACAATAAATACATCGCGTATCTGGAAATAACAAATTCAGTGTTCTAACAACTTTAGTTCAGTTTACATGTGAAGAAAGTGGTAAGTAGCGTAGACAAATAGGTATATTTACCACAGTAACATTAATTCTATCCAGTAAATCAACTCACCCTTCACTCTTTTGCGACCGGTAAGTTAGAGGTTACGGTACCTGTTACTGTAATGTGTTACCTAGCAACACTTTTTTTTTGAGAGCAATAACAGTCTCGACTTTTGACCAGTTGTGACTTAAAAATGATATTCAGGAATTTCACTTAAATCTGTAAAAAAAACTACAAACTGTGTACACTATTTTGGCTACATTGCTGTATTGACACAAGCTAAGATTATAATAATAACCACATCCAATTATTTCAAAAGTAACTATCACAATTCAAAGTCATAAGCAACTCGAAAAATACGTACTAAGCGCCCTCGTCTTCAATATTTATGAAGGAAAAACGTCCATGGCTATTCATATACTCTTCAAAAAACTCTCAACAAAGAATGTCATGAAATTATAAAATAGACTCCAAATTACGTTTATTATACTATTCAGCTCAACTGAAATAAGTAATTGTTATTTCATCTTTACCTGTATCTCTTGATACAGTTTTTCACTTTTAACTGTAAAATACCCATCACTGTTCTACCTAGTTTCTCAAAAATATTTGAATATGCATACCTATATCGTTTACTACTTTTTATTGAGAGGCATAACATTATCTCCCACCGATTCAACATGGTTTTCGATTCAATAAGTCCACTATTACTGCTGTGACAGCTTTTTACTCAAAAATCTTGGAGTACATCGAGGCTGGAATATTTTGTGATCTCAGTGAGGCATTCGACTGCGTCGACCACACGATATTATTAAATAAATTATATTCATATGGAATAAGAGGGAATGCCCTTGACTAGATAGAGTCTTTCACTCGAAGCAGGAGTCAATTTGTTTCGGTGGATCATAGATCTGAAAGTAGTAATTATAAATGTATTTCAAATACTCAAGTTTTGACCATTAAAGTACCTCAAGGATCAGTGTTGGGACCGCTATTCATTGAAAAGATTATACGAATTTTAGCAAGCGTTAATCAGAGAATCTCCTGCAGAGATTTATACAAACATTTGAAAATACTAACTTTCCCGGATATTTCCATTTTTGAAATGTGTGTATTCATACACACCAATAGGTCGAAATATGATTATATTTCATCTTACCATAATGTAAATACAAGAAAGTGTAATAATTTTCACATCAAATATAATGTAACCGCTAACTCACCTTCTTACTTGCGGCTAAAAACCTGACAAGTGAGCACTGATGATGATGACAAAAGAATACAAAACCTCTTCGATTCATTACTCAAGTTTTGACCATTAAAGTACCTCAAGGATCAGTGTTGGGACCGCTATTATTTATATTATACTGTAATGATGTTGGGGCCGCTATTACCCAAAAAAATTATACGAATTTTAGCAGGCGTTAATCAGAGAATCTCCTTTAGAGATTTATACAAACTTTTGAAATCTCTAACTTTCCCGGATGTTTCCATTTTTGAAATGTGTGAATTCATTCACACCAAGAGATCGAAATATGATCGCATTTCATCTTAACATAATGTTAATACAAGAAAGTGTAATGATTTTCACCTAAATCCCGTCAAATATAATATAACCGCTAACTCACCTTCTCACTTGGAGCTAAAACTTTATAACAAACTGCCTGATACACTGAAAACCATTGATGGAATTCAGGTTTTCAAAACCACACATGATTTTTATACTGTTGATGAATTTCTCAATCCTCCGTAATTTTATTTCTCTATCACATTCAATCCATCAAGCTGGAGTTGAATGAAGTTGATATGTTTTGTTCATCATTATATGCATATGACAATCTTTCATGTATGTTTGGTTCAATTTTACTTCAAGTATTATTTTATGTAGGTATGTACAAAATGATATTTGACCTATCCTATAACTTTGTAAGTTCTACACGATTAATAAAGTGATTTGATTTGATGTGATACATATTTTTACCAACTCTATTGAATGATCAATATTGGAAGAATATGGCAGATACTCCTAATTATCATTTTTTATATATTTTGCACAAGTGTAATTGATAGCTTTTATTTTATTGGATATATTTATATAGTTTAAGAAAATGACGTATTCAACCTTTATGATTGGGAAAGAGGATTTCTTGTGAAATAATAATTCATATAAGCTAAATTACCACACAGGTCAATGCGTTAACCTCATACTCTTCATTTTTGTAATCGAAGACACTGATTAATATTTATTTTACTGCGTTGACCTTCATTTTCTTCTTTTGATATGGTATGAAATCATTAGAGCAATTGGACAATTTAATCTCGTGATTAATGATTTAAAAAATTGTTTACGACACTGTGATATATTTTCTATTCTTCATAGTTTCATTCCAAAAGTTCCAATGCGCAATACTTCATCACGGATTCTCGGTGGAATTGAATTTGTTGTGATGATTTTCGAATATTTGTATATTTGTATTTCAAAATTCGTTCAAATTCGTAGAAGAGTAATTTTGATATCATTTCAATTCAATTCATAGTGATTTCTATCAGTTAGTTGCTGTCGACTTTCTCTGGTTAAATTGTTGTATTGGCATTAGAGGGCATCTTCATCTTTGTCTTGTTTAAGGGCGACAGTCTTCCTTGAAAGCCAAGTCGAAACGGTTGGAATTGAAAACGAAAATATGGTAAGATTTTGAGTTGAATTGAAGGCAATTATTGGGCAGAGATTGGTCATTTCGGAACTATAGTGATAATTAAACTGATGGATGTAGCCGTTATTACGTGGTAGAAAATCATAATGAAGAAAAAAATTATTGAAAATTTCTATGTTTTTTACCACTTTTATTTGTGACTAACGTTGTTACTACAGTTTCATCCTATGGGGACATTTTAAAACTTTTACATTAAACTAAAAATTATTGATTACATTAGCCCTCATATGACACCATTGTAGGTAGTAAACGAAGTACTTAACTCAATTGAGTACCTGGATTCAGGTTTACCAATGGGCTCACTACTTAGTCGACTTTTGGCAGGCATACTCATAAACAGCTTAGAGACCACTACAGTGAATTCCGCTCTGGGTAAAAACATATTCATTTTTGGTACAGATATGTAAACGATATTCTCGCCTATTTCAGAGGTACTACACGACAGCTGAACCAATTTATAACATTCATGAATAATCTCAAAAGGAACATTCAGCTCAAACTCGAAACAGATATGGAGAAACAGATAAATTTTCTAGACCTAGCCATTACACACAATCAGAATGAATTTGAGTTCAATGTTTTCAGAAACATTGCGATACAGCGATACAGCGATAGCAATACAGACCACACCTTCCCAAGTGATTATTTCCATCCAGACAGTCATAAATTAGCAGCCTACAATTCAAAGTTGCACAGAGCATCCTCACTGTCTTCGCTAACAATCTAGCTAAGGAAATTGATATAATAGGCCATAATGATGGTTTCAACGCAGAAACAATCCAGAAGTCAGTCAGAAACCGAAGCCGTAAATTCACTTACAGATTAATATAACCCCGGATCAAACTATCAGAAATCAAGAAATAGGTAACTCTAACATATTTTGGTAGAAGAACAGAGATAATCGTGGGTTTCTTCAGAAAAAAAAAATGTGGAAGTGGCATACAGACCACATGCCAAGTTATCTGATTTCGTTTTCAATGCCAAAGATAAAGTGAACAAGTTGGAGAAATCTGGAGTTCATAAGCTGAAATGTCCGGAGTGTAATAGTCTTTATGTGGGACAATGTGGTCGAGATTTACAAAAACGGTGTGCTGAACATGAAAGGTCCTTCAGACTAGGTAAAAATGATTCGACGTTTTCGAACCATTCCTTGGAATACAACCACAAGTTCCCGAATTTAAACGATACGGAACTTTTGCACTATGCAGGAAAGGGTTACAAACTCAATCATTTAGAATCCTTGAAGATTCACAAGCACATTGCGAGTGCAACCTGTTAAATGATCAAATCGATATAGTCTACTCGCCAGTTTTCAAATTAGCATATCCACATTGTCACAAGTAAACAACATTCAGGTACTCAATGAAGCTAAATACCTCGATTATCACCTACAGTGGTGTTATATGAAGGCTAATGTAATTTATCAGTTTCAGTTCAATGTATAAGTTTGAAAATATCCTCATAGGACGAAACTTCATTAACGTTAGTTATGAAAAGTGTTCAAAAACATAAAAAGTTTCAATTCTGTTTTCTTCATAGTGATAATTAATTTTTCAGAATGTGACTTTTGAAAATATCGAAATGAACTTTATGTAGCTTCTCGCAAGTGGTCCATGAAGACTATCATACCATTAGCATTCAAAAATGAATTTGATTTGATAATATTCGTCAGTTATTAATGGAGGATCGTTCACAAAAATTATATATTAGGAAGTATATCTCTGATTTTGAAGACAAATTCAAAATATTCGGAAAAATGTTTCGATTGTATGTTTAGGAAATCGATTTTGTGAATTCATATCCGGAAGTGCTTTTCCTTGGTTGTTTATGAACATTTCTATTGCCTGATCATATCTACCATCCTATTAGGAATATCCCAAAGTGCAGAAAAGCTTTGAGCTGATCAGATGTTTATAGTACAAAGTAAGTTTACGAGGTGAACTCTTCTTCACTACACTTCAGCAGATTATCCTCTGAATGAGCCTAATTTTTCAGATTGTGGAAAGTTATATACCAAAAAAACAGTAAGAAACATTAGGTTCTTCACAGAAAAGATTTTCAAAAATATTCACAAAAAATCCATTTCTGAACTGTTAATCCTACATTCATTGAACTTCTCTTTCAATCAAATTTTGGTTGTTGTTTGTTCCGAATAGTTTTCAATTCATGAAGAGTTCATTTATTTGGTAGTATAACAGAATCATGTTTTATTATATTTTAGCACTCAAATTTTGTTTCCTGAAGAAATTCTCAGAATACAATTTACAGTAGAATGGTCAAAGATCTTCTT